TTTACCTTAAGTACAGACAAAGTAATGACCTGTCAAATTTGACCGAAAAGCGACCGGAGTGACGAGTTTGACATGTTGTTTTAGAAAACAATCAAATTCCTAAAAATATTTGAATACATCAAGGTATCTTTATAATACCTATTAAATGAGGGAGAAAAGTTAAAAGGGTGTAGAGAAAACAATAGCACCAGCAGAGGGTGTCAAACACGCGACCTCCGACGGCAGGCGAAAACTCTAGTTTCTGCCACTGCGGCTTCTACGCTTCGTAACTGAAGAACAAAAAATCTGGGGAACATGCGGTTTGCGCCCTCATTCATTTAATAAATGCCCCAAAAACATATTTTTTTTGTGAAAATTAAAAATCAGATTTTTTTATTCTGCCCGATTTGAGATGAAATTTCCCATATCGGGCAGGCTGAAAGGGTCCAGCTTTTCATTTTCACGAAAAAAATATATGTTTTAGGGGCATTTCTCAAATGAATGAGAGCGCAAACCGCAAGTTCCCCAGATTTTTTGTTATCGAGTTACGAAGCGTAGAAGCCGCAGTGGCAGAAACTAGTGTTTTTGCCTGCCGTCGCAGGTCGCGTGTTTGACACCTTATGCTGGCGCTATTGTTTTTTCTACACCCTTTTAACTTTTTCCCCTCATTTAATAGGTAGTATAAAGATACCTTGATGTATTCAAATAGTTTTAGGAATTTGATTGTTTTCTAAAAAAACATGTCAAACTCGTCGCTCCGGTCGCTTTTTGGTCAAATTTGACAGGTCATTACTTTGTCTGTACTTAAGGTAAATTTTCTTTCTTTGGCTCTACAGAAAGCCCAAAGAAAGTCCATTATAGATATAATAATATCATTATGATCTGTCGACTAGCCGCTCCGCTACCTTCACGTAAACGTTGTAAGAAATAACAAATGTTGCAAGTTTGAGGTCGATTTTCTCAAAAACCCCATTTTTGTAAATTTTTATTTTTTAAATTATTTTAGACATATTAGTCAACTACAAGAAAAAACAGTCTAGAAATGGAATATTTTGGTTGTATGTCCTCTGTTTGAGCCGCAATCGCGTGAAATGTGTGAACATTTGTTATTTTTCACAACGTTTACGTGAAAGTAGCGGAGCGGCTACTGGGCAGATAATAATGATATTATTATATCTATAATGGGATTGCTTTGGGCTTTCTGTAGAGCCAAACAAAGAAAATTTACCTAAAGTACAGACAAAGTAATGACCTGTCAAATTTGACCGAAAAGTGACCGGAGTGACGAGTTTGACATATTTTTTAGAAAACAATCAAATTCCTAAAACTATTTGAATACATCAAAGTATCTTAATATATATATATATATATATATATATATATATATAAGCTCCAAACTGCTCGAATGCAAAGACAGTGAGTGTGCAGGCGAGGTGGTGATAGCTAATCTTGTCATATAACATATCTGCGAAAGTGTTGGAAGAAATTGGAAACTTTTTAGTAGAAGGGACAAACACAGAAAGGGAAGTCCCTCTTGAGACGTCCCTTTTTGTGTCTGTTCTTTCTGCTAAGAGTTTCCAATTTCTTCCACCACAGTCTCAGGTCTTATATGACATCTTTGAATGCAGTATTTAAAAAGTGATCTTTTAATTTTTTTTTTTTTTACGAAACATGAAACAGTTGTTTTGAGCGGTAAACTATATTGTATTAATTTTTCCGCCAAATTCAGCGGCGAAACTGAATCGGTGTATAGGTTAGGTGACATCGATTTCCATGCCAAAGTTGACCTCAGGTCACGTGACGCTAATTTCCCGGTTACATTTGGTGGGACAACTTCAATGGCGCTTAGGTCATTTGATGCCCATTTCCCCGCTAAATTTAGCGGGGAAACTGAATCGGTGTTTAGGTCAGGTGACGTTAATTGCTTCGCTAATTGTGAAGCAATTGCTTAGAGCGGAAGTGCACGGGAGGATGAATGAACGGATGGACGGAGAGACGGACAACTTTTTCAAATTAGGGAATTCCGTTAAAAGGTCTACCATGCCTAAAAAAATACCTTTACTTTTTATTATTATCGTCAGCCTAGCTTTTCGAAATTTAAGAGTAAGGTAAAAAATACACACAGCGAAATGCACGGTGTCCCCCCAAAAAAAATTTCGAAGTTGTTGTTGTTGTTTTTACCGTAAAAATAAACTACGGGTCACCGAATGCTTATTTCCAGACCAAATGTAGCCCAAGCCGTCCGAATCAGATGCCAAATTCTCAGAACAAACGGTTATCTTATTCAAAATATATAACCGATTTTCAGAAATTTTTAAAGGGGAGAATGGCTGCTGATGGACCTTTTATAATACATGCAGCTGAACGGCGCCAGTTACCGAAAGCGGGCGAAAACGGGCCCCATTTTCCCATCGAAATTTTCCGAAAATCATCTATAACTTTTCGCTCGGATAACGGTAAGCTCTGAAACTTTGGCATCTGGTTAAAGACCGACGACCAGTTCGCGCTTTCCACTTTTCCCCGGCTTCCTACTCTCCCCCTTCCACCCTGTCCACCGTCGCCTGTTTCCTCCTCCCCCATGGTGAGGAGGATCTTCTGCCTTGCAGAATCTCGGGTCTGGTCGTCGGCCTTTAAGACCGCTAGCACTACATTTGGGCGGAAAATCAGCGTTCGACGATGCGTACTTTATTTTTGCGTGAAAAAACACTGTAAATTGTTTTTGAAGCCACGCTGTATATAGTTAAAAAAAGAAAACAAAAAACAAACAATGTGATGGATCGGTTGTAAACGTTTATCCTCTTGGTGCGAGATATTGTTTTTAGCCAAGAAGTTATGGGTTCCTCTGATATATTTTTTTCTTTTTTCGTTTCTAACAATTTCTAAAACTAGCAGCCTCCTGTCTGAGAAGGATGGCTTGCATGAAAGGAGTCAACGGCCAATATATAACTTCAGTGTGGTGGGTCACGTAAAATGATCATTCCACGCTAAGCGGCCCTGGCTTTATGTCGACCTTCACGGACTCCTGCTTAAAAATTGTATGCGTCATTGGCAGCGTAAATTGTGCGAAATGTATGAACATGCGTTGGCAAGCCGTCTCCCACGTGGTCCGCAACCAAGAAAACCGGACGCGGTTCACAGAGAGCTATGGGCCTGATCCACGAGCCGACACTCGTCCTGTGGAGTCAGTCACGAAAACACCATACCTTCGCGCGACCTTGACCAAGTCCTGTGCTCCCCTTTATTTAAATTAATTTCAGTCACCGGTATATCGGTCATATTAACTACGGCAGGGGACATCAGGTAGGGTACGGGTGGATTGGGAAACTTTTAGACACTTATTTCGAACTTGAATCGGCGGATCAGCTTTATATTTGACCTCGGCTCTGCGCGTGCCTGTCGGCGTGCGCCGGGTCGCCCATTCTTTAAGACATTTCTCTCTGAAGGCCTTTGTATTCTATCTCGGTACGACCAGTGGTGCCCGGTTGACGCCCGAAGCGCTCCGTGCAGCCCTCGGCCGGGAGGGCCCGGTGACCCCGGCCTGGCCCACGAAGAAGCTATAAGCGTCTCAGCTCGCGTCACCCGCGGCCGCCCACTGGACTGACGAATGGGCCGGTCCCCGATTGTTCCTGCTGCCACGTCGCCCCCCTAATTACCTGGGCGCTTTGGGGGCGTCGAGGCCGTCGATGAGCTTTTTTCAGGGGCCCTGGCGCACAGGCAGCTCCAGCGCCCTGGCACGCGGATCGAGGCACTGGCGTAACGCACACGGAACACAGCTGGCAAGAGGGCCGGAAGAGAAACTCTTGGCGAGAGCAACAAAGTCGCGAAGCCTTTCTTTTTCTTCAGCGGCGAGAAAAACAAAGCCGAGAATTTGGGCCTTCTCTTTCGTATGGGACTCCTGTGGGCCAGTTTGCTAGGAACCTAATCATAGCCAAAATTGCGATAAAAAAAAAAAAAAAAACATTGTTAAAGATAGCGCACGAGCGCAGTGGCACGTGGTGTTGAGTCTCAAGCGCTCAGGCAACCCAGGTTTAGTGAATGTTTGTTTCATGCAGTCGTAGCTAAGACGCTGCTTCTAGCAAGCTCGCCCCTGGCCTTCCTAGACCGCATGAATGGTGGAAGGAAAAAATCAAATTGAGAGCAGACCGGTGCCACTCGATGGCTCTCCGGGATCCCGCATACCGTCGCCACGCGAGCAAACATTTTTCACTATTGTTTTTATGTCCCGGAGTTCTCTAAAACCTCGTTTGTAAAGCTTCAATTCACGACTGAAGCTCACTCGTGGCCAACGTCCTATTGTATTGGACACAATTGTGGACTCAGATAAAAATACACCGACGTCTTGTTTTCGAGGCCCATGCAATGAACGCCAACGAAGGCAAAGTGGACGCAAGTTCTAAAAATAGCATGTGATCAGACCAAAACTTTCCCCCTTCTACGACGGGCTGTCGAAAGCGCAGAAGACAACAAATATTCGCTTTCAGCGTTCAGCGCTCTTCAGCGACGACGGCGCGGCAGAATCTACCCCAGGGACGCTCTGGCAACGGTGAGCAACCTTGCGCGGTGCCTCAAAATAGCGCGCGGCATGTTGAAACTGAAACCGAGGCAAGAGCAAGCTAAATCTGTCCGCTCGCGTCCGGCTGCTTGGCGCGCTTAGATGGGTATCCATTCGATCGCCGTTTAACACAAAGGTTGTCGCAGTCAGCGCCAAAATCCGACAGTGCTTGTGACACGACGCGTCATAGAGTGGTTCGATGCGTGCCTACCAGAACGGCCAACTGCCGATGCCAAACAAGATTGATACGCAATGTCCTTCTTATTAATAAGGTTACTGTTACGGGGGCATTATAATGCAAAATAAGCGAGGCATGAAACGGTCACTTCGTAACATTGCCGTGAACCGAGGCCAAGGCTTCCCGTGCCTCAGAGAAGGGCACAAGGGGGATGAACCTTCTTAGGCTACAGCAAATGCAGAAAGAAAAAAAGTAACTTAGGGGCGCAAGAGATCGCCGTGGCCCCCTCACCAGTGACGAGGATGGTCTTGCCCTCCAGCGAGTCGTCACAATGGAAGAACTCCGTCCGGCGGATGATGTGCTTGACCAGGCACAGGAACCCGACCAGCAGGGCGACCGGACAGAGCATGTAGAAGGCATACTCGGAAAGCGTGCCTTCCATCATGGTGGCGACCGGACCGAGCCGCTGAGACACAAGCCACACAAGCCTCGGGCCCAAGCAATGCACTGCCCAGAGGACCCAACGCTCCCTTGGGCACGGCCCAAGCAAATTTAGCTCTTTCCCGGGGGTCGCCTGCCAGGAAGAGCGTTGGTAACTCCGCGCGGCGGAAGGGGGCGCCGCGAAAACGAAACCGGGCAACATTTGGTTGCCCTGCTGCCGAGGGGTCGAACAAATCGCTCCCAAACTCGAACCTGGGGCAGAACGTAGGAGATTCGGGCAGCATGGCACGCTCAGCTTGCGACTTGCTTCCGTACAGGATGTTTCACGGAACGCTGGCCAAATCGTTCCGGTGGAAAGTACGCATCGTAGAGAGAAAGAAAAAAAAAAGGTGATGTCGTAATATTGACATTTGGGCGAGTTGATAGTCTAACAAATTGAGGTATTTAGCGCAAGCGCTTGGGCGCTGAGTACCTCAATATGGGTTATATAGGTATTAGTCTCCCATATCCTATTTTCACACATTTCGAAAAATTACACTCGAGGACAGCTTTTTTTCGGGCGCAACAGCATGGATGTCTGTTCACTGGGGCACTTTGGTCGCCGATCAAAGCTGTGCACGCGAGCTCTTCACTGCTGTAGAAATGACAGTAAAAGTTGTCCTAAAGATTATTATTACTTTTGGGGTAATTGTTCTCAATTGCCAAACTTAGAAGTATGGTTTATATTATATAACTTCTGGGCATTTTTAAACATATACTAAATCAGCCTACTTCAAATATATATATATACATATAGAAGGCACACGCAGCAGGTCATGGCATTCCGGAATTTCGGTTTCCCATCAGAAGGCATCTCTGCGCCAGCGGTCCTGCTCCCCGTGGTCAAAGCATCTAGCCACTGCCTCGCCTCCCTCGAAGAGTAAAGCAGGTGTGGTGCTCGCAGGCAAAGTGAAACGTTGGGCCCTTTGAATGAAATTTCCAGACTAAGCTTTGGTTCTTGGGTTTAAAGGGATGCTACAATGAAATTTCGGCTTTTATTTCTTGGTCTATATGTGTTCAGAGGAGCAGTATCACATCGGACACACCAATATCTTGTCAACAAAGACACGAAAGGGAATTTTAAAACGAATTAAACGATTAGCAAAGAGCACCTGGTGGATGTCGCTAACGTCTCGTTTGTAATGATCGTCTAGGAACCTTGGCAGATAGTGACGACGTTTGTCTCGCCTCCGGCCACCACGTGAAAAGAGGTGGAAGGAGGAACTCCCCTCTCCCCGAGAATCTTTTTTGTGTGTCCGACAAGTCGCCATTGTCCCCCGTCACTCAAAATTTGTACAAAAGCAGCCGCTTCGGTGGCTGGAACGACTATAGTCGGTTACAAGTCAAGAAGGTAGGAGAAGCTCCTCCCACAAGTGTGATGCGCCGGTTTCAAATCCCTCCGCAGTCGAAAAAAGAGTTCACTGGAAACGCTCCTTGTTCCGTCTCAATGGATTCCCACTTGTCTCCGATCCCACTTTTTAAGAAAGCGACCTTTGTATATTCATCGGAGAGGGAACCGAGCCCCTGAAAGCAGCCTTTGTATCCGTCGGGGGGGAAGTTAATCCCCGAAAGTCGTATTTGTTTCCGTCGGTGGGGGGAACTCTAATTTCCCTCTCGTGGCTTCCACAATGCTAAGTCAAAGTCGAAAGATAAAGCAAATATGTACAGAAAGGCAAGACCCTCCTCGCGCGTTGGTCGCGACGTCACGGAAACGGTGGGACGCTATTGGATGCGGAGGTGGCGGAGGGATATCCGATTTCCTTTGAGGGGCATTTGCCGCTACCTTCTTAACCTGTAACTGACTATAGGCTATCCTCTCGACGTGAGCCTCGCCCGTGGCCTCGCGCCGCAGGTTTGCTCGTCCCGAGACGAACTATGTCACGGTTGCGTTGGATGTCACGTGCCCTCCGCTGGCTACTCTCTGAGCGCTTGCCAGAGTGGGCCGTTTAAACGAAAAATACAGCCACCTGCAGGCTCAAAATACAAACTGCGATTGTCATTTACGAATATTGTGAATTATATTCAACCTATTTTTGAACACGACGGGTATATTTCAAATTTTGTTGAAGTATCCCTTTAAGTCGTTCAAAACGGCCTCCTCCTGCTCGTGCTTGTGGCATCGGCGTCGCTCCCAATTACGGGTGCGTGCGGAGTGCGCGCTCTCATCAAGTATTGCGTACGTGCTCGCGCACCATACTTTGTTTCCCACACATAGCTTGCAAGAGGGGGATTGGTGGGAGAAAGAAGAAGACGCCGTTTCGAACGGACAGGCTTTCATGATCTCCGAGGAAAATCATCAATCGGCCTCAGGCCGAGGAAACCCCAGTACTTCAGGTTTAAATGGCAATAACGATCTTCGAATAATACACCCTGAGAATATTGTGACGACACCCGTAGGCCAGGAAATACCCAGGCTCAGGCGGTAAGCCAAGATGAGTACCGAATTCTGCTTCGACGATTTCCGCCGGCGGCTTTGTGCCTTAACTCTGTCTTTCTTCATGCTGACCTCACTGGTCGTCCGTACCGCGCGATGGACTTTCGCGACGGTCTGAAAGATGTGATTGATCTGAGTGAGGTGCTGTCCCGGGCAGTTTCAAATAAGCCACTTCTGGATGGCAACGATGGCAAATCCTGCAGCGGCGGAAAAGCTAAAAACGGTGAAAGGACTCAAGGTAAAAGGAAAAAAAGTGCCTCATTATTGATCCCAATGCGAAAGATGTCAAGATCAAACTGCTCTGGCTACCGTTGCAGTTGGACGAGAAAAAGGTCGCTGAAGCCTTGGCGCCTTTTGGAACGGTGCGGAGTGTCGCGAGAGAGAAGTGGCGCGTTCCCGGGATGGAGAACACGGAGAAAACGAACAGAAAGGTCTGCAGGGCTCTTCACGACACCGCGACATCAGAAAGCATTCCTCATCTGTTAAAAGTCGCCGGATCGCAGCCCTCGTAGTGATGTCCGGATGGCCGCCCTTGTGTCTGAGATGCAAGAGAGTCGGCCACATTCGAAGACAATGTCGTACTCCAAAATGTGCCCGATGCAACAGATACGGACACCAAAGCGACGAGTGCTATTCCAGCTACGCAAGCATACTTCGAAGCCCCGGCGCTGAAGCAGATTCCAACTCCGAGCTCTTGATGGACATATCAGAGGTAGTGGATGCCAGTGGAGACATCCTTCCCACCCAAGGGGTATGTGCAGAACACACGCCCCCAAGTCCCAACGAGTGCCAGGCGTCGGCCGAGAAGAACATCGAGCCGCCTCAAATTGGCGCAGCGACAGAAGGTGAAGCTCCATCTACACAAGAGTGTAAGGACGAGAGAACTTTGCAACCATCGGAAGCACCGAGGCAGTCGGCGGACCCTGAAGCCACCATGGACACGACCCACAGCACATCAAAGGACACTAATGAGAGCAAACGAAAAAAAGAGGTACCGCCAGACACCATCGCGAGTAAGCGGAAAACATCACTTGCGCGCTAGATGATAATATAACCACCCCTCCCCACCCCCAGGCCCCCTCACCCGCATACCTCCCCTACCTCCTCCCCCTTCTCCTTCTCACGAGGGCATTCGTTTTATGACCTTGAATGTTAGAGGCTTCAATTCCCGCAAAAAGCAATGTCATTTAAAGCGCCTCCTTGACGATAAGGATTTTGACTTTGTGACACTGCAAGAAACAAAATTGTCAACAGAGGAACAAGTAGAAGATGCCTTGAATATTTTCCTCCATCAGTATGAAATATGTGTTAGCCATGCTGTTGGTTTCTTTGGCGGTGTCATGTTAATTATTAAGAAGTATTTTCAGTTATCTGAATTAATGGTCACGACAGATCTTTGCGGGCGCTTCATTATGTGCGACTTCCAGTTACTGACGCATATTGGCGTGTAATATGTGTTTACGCAGCAAATTACGTTAATCAAAGAGTAGCGTTCTTTCATCATCTACGGCCCGGTTTAATTTGTAACAAATTGGTAGTTCTTCTAGGAGATTTCAACTTTGTTTGTGAGGAAGCAGGCAGGACGCCTACTAAATCGCGCATTGACAAAAGTGCACAAATACTGCTGAATATGGTTGACGAGAGCAATATTTTTTGACGCAGCCTCATTTCAAGAAGGGGGAAAGCAACTGCAGTTTACGCATTTTCAAAACTCCTCTCACACACGCTTAGATAGAATTTATTGTTCCGTAAACCTTATCAACTGTCTAGGGAGTTATACGGTGGATCCAGTATTTTTCACTGATCACTGTGTGGTCTCGTTAACAGTAGGGAAGAAGATAAGAAAAAAGGAAATAAACTGGAAGCTATGGAAACTCAACTGCCAACTACTAAAAAACGTACATTTTTTGGCCACTTTTAAAGATCTCTTAAAACAAGTTGGAGAAATGACTGAGCACATTTTTGTTAAGTGGGAACTATATAAGCAAGATTTAAAACAGTTAGCAATTGAGAGGAGCAGTATTCTGAAATTTGAGAAGTCAGAAACAGAAAAAGCACTGCTACGTAATTTGCGCGTCTTGGTCGAACTTGAATGCACAAACCCCCGGACAGGGATCCGAAGATGCATAACTCGCATGAAAGCCGAATTAGATACATTGTACCAGGATCGTTACCAAGGAGCTGTTGTGCGCACGCGCACAGAAAAGTATCTTATGGGAGAATAACCAACAAAAAGAGCAATGGAGGAGGAGAAGAGGTATGCTATAACTAACGAAATTACAGAAATAGAAGATAATAACTTGATAATCACAGATAAGGAAACCATAGTCCACGTCTTTGTTGAACATTACCGGAAGATGTTTGGGAAAAGTGCTTCATCGGTAGATAACTTAGGGAACTGGTAGCTTTACTGCCGCAATTAGATGAGGAGTGCAGAAAAAGGCTAGAGGAACCCATCAGCTTACAAGAAATAGAAAAAGCCATTGATGACCTTCCGAAAGGAAAAACTCCTGGTCCAGATGGCATCACAGGGGAATTTTATAAACTGCGTAAAAATGCTTTAGCTCCCATTTTGTTAGAAATCTTTCAAGAGGCTTACAAGGCAAACGCGTTACCCCCCTCTTTTTTGCATACTCGTACTATTCTCATACCAAAGACTGACAACAAAACCAAACTTCTGCACGTGAGTGGTTATCGGCCCATCACGT